ATCCGGGACACCCATCAAACCAGGGCCTATCTTGGACACCTATAGAAGCAGGGCCTATCCCGGACACCTATAGAACCAGGGCCTATCTTGGACATCTATAGAACCAGGGCCTATCCCGGAAACCCATCGAACCAGGTCCTATCCCAGACACCTACAGAACCAGGGCCGATCCCAGACACCTATAGAACCAGGGCCTATCCATGACATCCATAGAAGCACTGTAGAATCAGGGTTTATTCCGGACACCTATAGAATAAGGACATAACTCTGACACCTATGGAATCAGGACTTACAGGACTATCAGCCTAGCCCTGAATATTAGAACCATCAGTCTACTGTTTAGCTATATTAGCTATTTAGATTCAGTGGTCTATTCTAGACATATGGAATCATAAGGCTTATCACTGCACTATATAATCTTGGACCTGTTTCTAATCTATAGGGGCCTATAAAATCATCAGCCCATCCCAACTTATGGAATCATGGACCTACCTTTGACTTATAGAATCATCAGCCTATGCCTGACCTGTGGAGTTATTGAATGCTCTATGCTGCTTAGAATCCTTGGCTTACGTCTGACATATAGAAACATCAGCCTATCCCTGATCTATAGAATGGTGGGTAAAAACAGAAGGTGCTGGAGAAGTGCAGCATTTTTGATGGCACCTGCACTCTGATGAAGGATCATTAACATATATAATCAGGGGCCTATTCCTGACCAATAGAATTATCACCCTATCATTGACTTATACCTTATCTCTGACTGGTAGAATCATCATCCTGTCGCTGACTTATAGAATCATGTCCTTATCTATGACCTATAGAATCATCACCCTATTGCTGGCTTATAGAATCATGTCCTTATCTCTGCCCTATAGAATCATGATCCCATACCTGACTTATACAATCATGGCCTTAATTCTGACCTATGGAATCATGGCCCCATCCCTGACTTATAGAACTACCACCCTACCTCAGATCTGTAGAATCATGATCCTATACCTGACCTTGTAGAATCACAATCCTATCTCTGACCTATAGAATCATGATTCTATCCCTGACCGATGGAATTATGGCCCTATCTGTGACCTATAGAGTCATAATCCATTCCTGAACTATGGAATCACAGCCCTATAGCTGACTTATAGAATCATGGCCCTATCACTGGCCTACATAATCATATTTGTATACCTGACCTTGTAGCATTATAATCCTGTCCCTGACCAATGGAATCATGATTCTACCTTTGACCTGTAGAACCATGGCCCTACAGCTGACCTATAGAATCACGGCCCTATCCCTGACCTGTAGATTCATGACCCGATAGCTGACCTATAGAATATGTGACCTAACCTTGTTGAATGGAATCATCAGCCAAACAGAGGTCATTCTGGCAGGTCCAGGGAAGGGCCCCAACATCAGTAGGGCTGGCCCAGTTACAAAGACCATTTGTTATTGGAACATTGGAAAGTGTTGGAGAGCGGTCACCTTTATTTTAGGATTCACCCTCCCCCACAACATCCCTCACGGCTGCTGCATTCCTATTGACCACCTCCAGCCTTGACAAGGGCAGCCCCACCGCCTCCGTTTCCACGGACCCCTGCTCCACCCACCCCTCCCTCCCTAAACTGACCTTCCATATTCGGAATTCCTGCCTGACCTCTAAAACCTCGACGGAGAACCCAGATAAAACCCCGGGGAATGTGGGACTCTGAGCCCCCATCCTGAAGGCAGGATCCCAGGAAAAATCCCAGCCCTGGGAGCCAACGATCAGTTGCTCAAGAAACATTTTGCCGATGGGTACACATAACCCTTGAACACTGGGACACGGAATACTTGTAAAAATGGACTGGAATCAATAATCACTGCTGAAATGATCTAATGATTGCAACTCCGATGTTTAGTAGCCGTGATCAGACGGAGTGGCTCTTGTTCAGGGAATCCAACATGTCCCAAACACAGATCTCGGACAGACCATGCCCTGATGGGCAGTTGATGGGTGCATCCCCAAATAACGCTGTTTTCAAAGATCAATCATTGCACAACCTGGCTGAGGGAGGGAGGCTGGGGAACGAAACTCCCCTAAGATCGCAAACTTTATACTGTCGTTGGGCGCGGCTTGTAAAATGGAGAATCTTTGCCTGCACAGCGGTCGACAGAAAGACCGTACCTGGAGTTTCAGCAGCTGTGGGGTGAAGCAACAGGAAAAGGGATGTAGCCCAGAGAAGTCTTGCCATGCTTCGTTGGTGCTCGCTGACTCCTCCTGCATCTGAATTTCAGTGGACGGCCCGAGTGAACCAAGGTTCAAAGATCAACAACGAGGGCTGCAAAAAATAAACCACTCGATTCCCTATCGACCCTCAATCTCTGGCGTTCAGAGTGACTCACAATCAGCAGGTCGCAGTCCCCTTGCGATCAGTGTGCTCAGAGTGCGAGAACTGGGAATATACAATAGTCAAGGCTCAAACAAACACCCCCTCCCCCAACTCCCATGAACAATAGGAGCAAGCTCACTGTTTCAGGGCTGAGGATATTTCCATTGGTTCTGTTTTTTTGACTGGTGGGCATCAATATCCCAATGTAACATCCAACTCTTCAGGGGGAGGCAATGGCCTAGTGGTATTATCACTAGCCTGTTAATCTGGGAAACCCAGCTAATGCTCTGGGGGACCTGAGTTCAAATCCTGCCACAGTGGATGGTGGCATTTGAATTCAATAATAATCTAGAAATAAAAGTCAAATCACTATTGTCAGGGAAAAACCCATCTGGGTCACTAATGTCCTTTAGAGAAGGAAACTACCATCCTTACCTGGTCTGGTGACTCCAGACCCACAGCAATGGGGTTGACTCTTAACTGCCCTCAATTAGGGATGGGCAATAAATGCTGCCTGGCCAGTGACACCTTCATCTGGTGGATGAATAATTTAAAAAAAAATTCTTCCCTCAATAAAGATGCTGAGTTTGGTATTTCTTTACTTATTGCACATCCCTAAATGCCCTGGGGAAAGTGGTGGGGAATTGTCTCCTTACATTGCTGCGTATAGGGGCAGGCTGTTCCAAACCAGGAGTCAGGACCCCAAGCTTCAAGGCTGTAATGACCAAACCGTCAACCTGACCCCCCCGGGTCTAATAGGTCATCCATCCTGTCTCCCACCACTGCTCGCTGAGGGGTGACGACAGTTTGCAAGCCTTGCGATAAGGTCACAGTTGGGGAGAGGTTTGGGTAAAACTGGTGTAACAATCCCATTAGGGAAGGAATTGCAGGGTTTTGACGCAGCGACAGTGAAGGAACGGCAATTTATTTCCAAGTCAGGATGGTGATTGGCTTGGAGGGGAACGTGATGGTGATGAACATTGGCGGTGTTCCCATGTATCTGCTGCCCTTGTCCTTCTAGATGGAAGTGGTTGTGGGTTTGGAAGGTGCCATCCGAGGATCTTTAGTGAATTACTGCAGTGCATCTTGTAGATAGTACACACTGCTGCTGCTTGGAGGGAGTGGATGCTTGTGGATGTGGTGCCAGTCAAGCGGCTGCTTTGTCCTGGATGGTGTCAAGCTTCTTGAGTGTTGTTGGGGCTGTATCCATCCAGGCAAGTGGGGAGTATTCCATCACACTCCTGATTTGTGCCCTGTAGATGGTGGACAGGCTTTTGGGGAGTCAGGAGTTGAGTTACTCAGTGCACAAATCCCAGCCTCTGACCTGCTTTTACAGCCACTATATTTATATGATGAGTCCAATTCACTTTCTGCTCAATGGTAATCCCTGGGATGTTGCATTTGAACATGGACTGCTTCAGTATCTGAGGAATTGTGAATGTTGCTGAACATTGTGCAATCGGCGGCGAACATCCCAACTTCTGACCTTATGATGGAGGGAAGTTCATTGATGAAGCAGCTGAAGATGGTCGGGCCTAGGACACTACCCTGAGGAACTGCTGCAGAGATGCCCTGGAACTGAGATGTCTGACCTCCCACAAGCACAACCATCTGCTAAGCATGACCAGCCAACAGTGAGATGCCGCCACCACTGCCCACCACCCCCCGCCCACACACCCCCAGGTTTCCATTGACTCCAGTTTTGAGAGGGCATCTTGTTGCCACACCTCCAAGTGTCCCCTTTAAGGTCAAGGGCTGTCCCTCTCACCTCACCTCTGGAATTCAGCTCTTTTGTCCATGTTTGAACGAAGTCTGTAATGAGGTCAGGAGCTGAGTGGCCCTGGCACAACCCAAACTGGGCGTCAGCGAGCAGGTTATCGCTGAGAGAATGCAGCAGCTTGAAAGCAGTATCAATAACCCTTTCCATCATGATACTGATGATTTCCACTTGTTTTGATGAGGGCACATGATCGTGCACAGGGAGCTCTTGGGGTTGAGTTATAATGAGGCTCTGCCTGGGATCACAGGAGATGGGTGTGAGAGCCGTCAGAGTCTGCTGTCTTTCCCTGGGGACACACTATATGTAACTCTCATTTAATGGGGGGGCTGCTTAGCTCAGTTGCAATGCAGAGTGATCCCAACAGAGTGGGTTCAGTTCCTCCACCAGCTGAGATTTTGATGAAGGATTCTCCTTTGCAATCCTTGCCTGTGGCACGTTGACCCTCAGTTTAAGCCACCACCAGTTGTCTCTCCAATGAGAGAGCAGCCCCCTGGTCTGGTAAGACTATGGTGACTTTGTTGAATGGGTGCTGAGTCAGTGCCTACTGCTCTGTGCCTATGGTGGTGACCATCAGTTGTTAAGAAAGCCCTTGTACACTCACCAGCCTCATGGTTCTTGTTCCCTCAGCAAACCCCCTCCAAACCACCAGCTCACTCGTTCTCTTACCCCCGCTTCACTCCTCAGCCCCTCACCCCACCCACACCCCGTGGTCCCCTTGCCACCATCATGCCATGTCACCTACTGACATTCCAGGGGAGTCGGAATCATCAACCTGTCTGCTCCATCCCAACCCTGTCCCCAGTTCGATTCAGGATTCAACAACACGGGGCTTAGATCAAAGAGATAAGCAAACCTGGAAAGTGGTGAATCAGCCCAGGTAATCAGAGGCGAGCCACCTACAGTACAGCTCTCACTGACATTAAACACGGGAATATGGGCCATTTGGCCCTTCGAGTCAGCTCCACCAATCAGGATCGATCTGGTTATGGTCTCAGCTCCACTTTTCTGCCTGTCCTCTGTAACACTCGACTCCCTTGTCCATCCATCTGGCCCTTAAATAAATTCAGTCTCGGAGATAGTAGGAACTGCAGATGCTGGAGAATCCGAGACAACAAGGTGCGGAGCTGGATGAACACAGCAGGCCAAGCAGCATCATAGGAGCAGAAAGGCTGACGTTTCGGGCCCAGACCCTTCATCAGAAAAAGGGGAGGGG